AAAAAATAGCTATTGTAGCTGCTGTTATTTCAGAGTAAATAATTTATTATTTTTGTCATTCTTACATTTGGGCAGCCCATAATAGCCAGTGCCTTGTGCACTCACACTGAGGAAGAGGCTTCCTGTAAGTACCCTAACAATACATGGTCTTCCAGTCAGCAGCCGTCTTTCTTCATCTTTAATCATGTGAACAGAAAAGGGAGGTTCACTTTAGTATGAGGTGAGAGAACAGTTCAGTCCAAAAACTATGATCTCAGGGAAAAACAGGTGACTCAGAAAATAGTCAAGAAACAGAAAGAAAAGAAGGGAAGGAGAAAGGGATGGAGGGAGAGAGAGGGAGAGAATGAGGAGCAGGAGAAGGAATGAGAGTAGGAGAGGAAAAAGAGAGAAAATAGAAAAAAAATTCAAGATTCTACTTTTTTTTTTTTTCAAGGAATTTGAGAAGATGTCTTACCAATAATACAAGTTCTGGGTGGTGTGACAGAACTGCAGTTTTCCTTCCTCAATCCATTTCATGCTTCTTCCGGATGGTACAAAACTAGACCATGTGTTTTCCAGGTTCCTTTAAAGCAATGTGGCATGTGACTAAATTCTGTTCCATGAATGTGAGAGGAAGCAATGTGTGGCCGTGGCTGTGACCCAGTGTTGAGCATGCAGATGAGAACGACCTTCTAAGAGCTGACACACTGGCGAGATGGAGGGGACTTGAGTTCCTGACTGGTTTCAGGGAGAGCAGTCACCCTACCCACCACCCACAAACTATACAACTGTGAAATAAATAATATTACATAAGTCACTCTATGTTAGTCATCTTTTTTTTTTGTGGCTGTGACAAAAAGACCTGATAAGAACAATGTAGAGGAGGAAAAGTTTATTTTGGCTCAGAGGTTCAGAGGTTCAGTCCCTGGTTGGCAGACTCTCATAGCTCTGGACTCAAAGTGAGGCAGAACATCATGGCAGAAGGGACATGACAGAGGAACTCGCCTCAGGACATGGCAACAAGAACAGAGAGAGCTCTGCTTAGAAGGGACAAAATTTATACCCCAAAGTTGCACTCAATAACATACCTCCAGTCATATTCTACCCACCTGCAGTTATCTCCCACTTAATCCATCCATCAGTGGAATAATTCAATGATGAGGTTACAATTCTCATAACTCAATCATTTCACTTCTAAATATTCTTGCATGAACTTTTGGGGAACACCACATATCTAAAACCATCACAGGGCCTATTGTGACAGCAACCCAGATTAATATCAATGTATAGATATTTAAAAAAAAAAACAGAGAACAAAAAAATTCAAAGAAATTTTAAACAAAATGGCCAAACAATGAAATGTTAGAAGATAACTTGAGGCTATGTCTCAGTACATATAGCTTTTAAAAACAGAAAACTGTAAGAGAACAGATAATAGATACAAAATCATCAATCCAGCAGGTCTAGAATCCAGGAGATTGAGAAAAAAGGATGAAAAATATAAGTAGAATAAAATTAGTGAAAAAATAATGATTTTATTTCTATAAAAGATAGAAACAGAAAAGCTGACTCTTCCTGTTATTTACCTGATACTGGTTACCTTGCAGAGGATTGGAATAGACCAAGAGCAGAACTTCTGGCTTGCTGGTCATTCCTCCTCCTGCTTTTACTGCTGGTGACAAGGACAGCTTCAGCTTGTCAAGTAATATTAAATATACTCCTTATGACTTCAGCATTTTTCTCATTTTTATTGCATATAATCTACTTCTCTAAGTAGATTATATGCAATAAAAAATTTCAAATATAAAGAAATATGAACAAAAATTTCTAGCACTGAACCTACAGCAAGAAATATCATTCTATAATTTCTAATTCCAAGATATAAATTTTCTTTAATCCAAAAATGAAGAGATCACAAAACTTGTCACAAAGGGGGGTGGGGAGTAGCATACAGAAGAATAAAAGTAGGTCAATATCAAACATCTCACCTCTAATAATAAAGCTAGAAACTAATTAAATAGAGCCCTCACAATTCTAAGAAAATGAGTTT